TAAGTATTCTGTATTTCATTAGAATCGCCATCATGATTCAGAATGTGGATGTGTGCGTTAGGATGTAAGTAAACCTAGCCCTGAAAATTTACCTAAAAGTATGCTTTGCAGCGTAAAGCAGACCCCTCCCAACTTCCATTATCATTTGCGTATTTTTCGTAGATGGTCAACCTTATTATTTTCCTTTAAACAACATATACTATTTAGATGTTATTAGTAGTAGATTTTTCGTGGCCGATAGGAAACATTTTGTTTTTTTTGTATTGGAGTAGAGTTTCGAGACTACAAGTAAACCAGTAATATGATATGTATTCACCCTATTTCGTCGAAGGACTGGTAGTAGAATTTTCCCACAATGACATGAGTTGAGCTGACGTTTCCATTGAATTTCACATAGTCTTGCTTTCCCAAAAGGATGGCTATGTGAAATTCAATGGAAACGTCAGCTCAACTTATGTCATTGTGGGAAAATTCTACTACCAGTCTTTCATCACCTTAGACGAAATAGGTTGAATGCATCTCGCATATTACTTTAACGTAGAACGGAAATGGCGCATCTTAACAAAATTCAGTTTCTTGATATCTGCGACCCAATAAGTAGAGAAAAAAAGCTTTAGAGACTCGTCTTTGTGGTTGTTAAAATTTCTTCCGCTGACACTCCAACTTGCGAACTCAAATATCTTTAATCAGGTATGGGTTGTGATTTTAGTTTTAAGACGGTTTCGAGACTACCAGTAAATTATATATTTGAGGTGTATCATCCTATTTCAGTTAAGTTTATGAAAGACTAGTAGTTGAATACTCCCACAATTATGTGAGTAGGTCTCACATTTTCATTGAATTTCATACTACCCTGCTTTATAAAAGATATTCCCATCTAAGGTGTACTCTAGTTTCGACCAAGGCGAGGTAAAACATATGGTACAGCCAATTTACGGCCGTTTTTAGAGAAAAATCATTCTGTCTCAGTTAGTGTAACACCGAATGCAATTGGTGCATCTTGACTAAATTCGGTTTCCTGTTAGTCGTGACCGTATAAGTTTGTCAATAAAGCCTTAAAGACTCGATCACACTCCAATTTGAATGTCTAAATAGCCTGCTTTTTGAATTACTTGTGATTCCTTAATGCTGCTGACTTTGTGAACTTTGAGTGACAGCCCTTTACGCCAAATCAGTCTTAGTTTTCATCATCTCCTGAACATTGTGAGTGCGTGTTGAGCAGTTCATTTTTGTCAAAGGTGATACGAAGTCTACTTGCGCCCGATAAATTATTCTTAAAATGGCGCCTGCTTGTCGCCTTGAAGCAGCAGCTCAAATTGCTTCTCCTTAAGTTCGTATTTTTAGGCATAAATTGCGTCATCACTTTCAAGAAGCCTCCCACGACACATATTGCCCATAGCAATGACATTTTTGGATTATAACTGGCCTAAGAACATTTCCTAAACTAAACTCGCAATTAATACAGAGTGCAAGGCAGCTTGACCTTAATGGAGTCTTTCAGCCTTAGAATTTTCATACCAATTTTGACAGCGTCCCCGTGTTACCATTGCCATTATGACTTAAGGGCTTCGACGTCAGGAGAACTATGTATACACTTGACAGTCATTCTCTTTTATCCCATATTAAAAAAATAAAAGACTGTTTATTTTAATTTAATGAGGAATAAGCAAGCAGCAATGGTGCATACCAAAGCACATCTGAAAGCCAATCTAAGCTACCAACGTCTCTTCTGTGCGTTTTCTGCTCAGATCCCAACAGAGTCGGAGGAAGAGGCGAGGCCGACTTGGTATATGATATACTATGGGCTCGAAAGCTCATTCGTCATAATGATATCGCGGCAAATGGACACATGGGGGAGCGCCAATTGTGATGGCAAACCAGAAAAACCATTTCGATGGAGCCCGTAAAAAATCACTCCAACGAATCTTGTACTAGACTTAACTCAAATATATATTCAGTCCGCATGAGCATGTGTCTTAGCGCTTGCATGTGTGTGTGTGTGTGTGTGTGTTTTCGTGTGCATTGTGTCCTTTAAGAGAAGAAGCATATTTACACGGGCATACCTATCCCCATCGGTCTGGCTGTGCTGGCAACCTATGCAGTCGCTTTCACAATACCGATGGGAAGGCCAATACGGCCAAATAGCACAAGCAGGTGTACTGGTCAAGGACATCTGCAAACACACTTGCACACTCACTTGCATGCCTGTGTCTTGTGAATGGGTAGGATTTAGGCGAAAGAGACAGTCCTATGGCTACCTTCGCTAAGCCCCGGATCGACCTCAACTGTATACCCAGCCCTCTCGCGTCTCACGAGTGTGACTGGTCAGGGCTTCCTGTGCAGGACCGTCGAAATGGTGTTGAAAAAGACTCAAAATGCATGAAGACGATTATCATTAATTTTTTCCACACCTCGATAAATTCTGTCTGACGAGCACTAGAGCCGAAAGAGACATGTTTGTCTGTACTGATAGCAAGTTTGCGTGTTTCAAGTGCCAGTGTGTAAGTGCATCTATACAATGTGAGTATCCATAACCATGAGATAAAGGACAAACTTTTTAATGAGGTCGAGAAGAGACAACAGTGAATGGGCATATTGATACTGATGAGGGGGTAGAAATAAAACATCGCAAGGTCTGGCTCTCTGGGATGATTTGTACGTAAGCTAATTGGTAAAATTAACTATATTTAAATGGATTATTGCCCCAGTTTATAGATTAAAAGGCATTTGGAGAACTTAGGTATATGTGAATATGTGAGTGGGATTTGTAGATAAATGAATAGAAGGGGGGGCTAAAGAGCTTCAAGAGAGAGGTGAATTGACAAGAAATTGATATAAAATGTAAACAAACAAGATAAGCTATGCCTTGTCGATAATGAATTTCTTAAAGGTTATTATAACGCAAAAAAATGAAAATGAGACAGAAACGACGAGCCTATTTCTTTAAATAACTTCCACACTTTTACAATTGCTGGAAAGTCTGAATGGGTCCAATTTATTCACCAAGCAGGCCGACATGTATCCTCGATTCTATGCCATAGCAGAGGTCATGACCTCACTCGAACATGCTGTCGAGCTTTTGCCGACCGGAGGCGTCATCGGAGACGCTAGTTATGCCTGCAACCCGACTCCATGTGCCATCAGGAAGCCGGTCGCTGACGAATCCCGCCCGTGGCCTGGCCGAGAGAGGCGAATGTTGTCGTAATAAGCTGGCTTGAAGGAATGCGAGGCTTGTTGAGTCTCGTTTGAGTGATGTAATGCGATTCCTCTTTCCAGCACAGCATGACTATGTCTAAAGTACAACTGTAAGATTAGGGCGGCAACAAACATACGAGATAGGAGGAACGGTTGATTTGTCGCTCGATGGCTGTCAGTTGATGGGCCAACTATGAAGGGAGTGGGAACCTTGAGTTCGTGTCTTTGAAAGTGTCTTCTTGTCCAGAAGAGTGTCCACAGTTGTATCACTGCCCCGACGACCCAAGTGAGAAAGCCACTTTAGGACGTGCGATCAAAATGGAAACAAACCCTAGCCTCAGAAGAGGTGCTGCAGTCTTGAGTTCTTAGGTTTTATGAAAACAATTATCTCCTCTAAATAGAATTTCCATGGCTGCCCCTTAGCCTACCCATCTTGACATGTTTATAAATAATTATTAGGACGAAAGAGTCACTTTTGGGTTCTACTAGACGAAAGAGTCTCGACTCTAAAGCAAAGTTGCTTCACCATCCTGTCTTCCCGATGAACCTGTACTAAGCTTTCGTCTCTCATTGGCAGACTTCGGCAGATCAATAAGCCATTCCGTAAAGTATTATTTGTTTATCTTTCGCATTTAAGTAATATGAGATGAATTCACCCAATTTCGTTTAAGTTGATGAAGGACTGAGTAGAGCTGACGTTTCCATTATCAACTTTCTCTGGCGATGTCTGCCACGTGACAGACGAAATCACAGCACGAGTTCATCAGGTTCATCGGGTTCGCAGGACAGTGAGCCAAGGAGTTCTGCTCACAATCGAACAGTCCGAGGCAATCCTCCTTGGCTTTTCGGTGAGACCAGTTCACGAATTCATTCCAACCAACTTTTCCTTTGAACTGGAAAGTCGACTAGCCATAACTCGCTGAGGGCGTCTTTGAAACACAGATTAACTTCATATCCTCCATAGGAATGTTTGCCACATATTTGCTAGCAAGAGAGCATATCTTCGATCATCATATACGATGCATTCCTTCAATTAATCTGAACAACCAAGCCGTTAGATGGGGACGTCTAGTTTCCAGCTGGCTACTTGACTAAGTCAACTGTACCTCGTATTATGCGTAAAATGGAGGCTGGGTTTAAACAAAGGGATACAAGAGTAATGGGAGGAGGCGAAGTACACTATGACTAGCGTGATTTATGACTATGCGGTTTTTTAGATGCTATAGTAAACATTGTTTTGAAGGTGCAAGAAATACCACCGAAGTGGAGACTCGATTAGACTCGATTTAGATTAGCACTCTGACACCTCACACAGCTCATCTGCAATGGAAGGCAAGAACATGCGTCAGCACCGTAGGCTAAAAAATAAAAGTGATTTGGGCGAGGATTCGGCAGCTTGGTTGGGATTGCAACCAGGTAACACGTCATTTACTGCCACTTCGCATGCCATCCGCAAGCACGTAGAGAAAGCAAATAATATAAAATGGAAAAGTACTTTTTGGAGTTACTGCGAGCCGAATTTTTATTTCAAAAGAAAAGTTGTCTGGGAGAAATTCGTGGATTTGTCTAACTGTCCGCAGTTATGCTCGTGCATTATCGTAAAGGATAATGCCCTGCTCTGACGATGCTTGTCATATGCCGTACGAAAGATAGGAACGAATTAATCGGGGTCGCGAAACGATGAACAGAGATCTTTGGCTTCCGATGATGGAAAGTTACGAATCCCTACCACTTAACGCTTACAGAAAAAAATGAAGGGTATGCCAACATCAATGGCACACAGGCCTTCAAATGACTTTAATAGAAGCTGGACGGCTGGCCGCAAGAATAATCTACAGCCCATACTTTTTAGAATGTATCAAGTTTAGCAAAGGAAGCAAGTTAATTTTTTTTCTTTAGGAGGGGATTTGTGTGGCCACAGAAAAGTCTAGTGGGTAAAGAGATCTTTAGATCAAGCTTAACCTGAGTACATATCCGTCTAGAAATATGGCGATAACTGGCAGTAGCATGAATTTTCTTCTAGAATGGAGGAAAACCCTTTCTTGGGACACCGGGTAAGAAAAATTCACTTGAACTCAATACTTCTCATCCAGTTTTAATGGCTAGTTCGAAAAGCAATGCCATGAAGAATTTACCACCAAAGGAACACTTTAGAGGCCCCCAAGATTTACTGATATTCCGCTATTCGGTTTTTTTGACAAAAGTAATGTTTATGAAATACTTAGGTTATGCTCTAAAATAATATGTCTTAGCAACTCAGATGGACAGAGATGGATTTATGAAATATTCACTTTCAGATGTTAAAGAAACTGGCATCAGCGTAGAAAAACTCGTCTAAGGATTTTTAGCTCCAAAGTTAATACTACATTATACTACCGAATTCTACACGGGTCTATGGGAACTTGATTGAAAACTTAAGGCCTACTCACATCACTGTCGTAAAATTCCATTACCAGCCCATCATCGCTTTAAACGAATTATGATGAATATATCTC